CAGTATCACTGTAAACAATGTAAATATCTCACATGCTCAGTTTATTTTTTGAGAACAATTATTTAAAAATAAAATCTCTCAGTCAATCAGAAACTCGGATTCATGCCTTCAGGGAAAGTCATGTTTGGACGCTCACATCGATTTGTTTTTCGTTCGGTGGGCTGATGCCTTCGGTGTAGCTTTTGCATCTTCCGACATAGAAATCATCTGAATCTTCTTTCTACCTTTCTTTCTTTTCACACCACGCATAATGTAATGATAAAAATTAAGAAAAAACGCTGAGGAAATATAATGTTTGGTTTGCTAGCGAGCGAGAACTGATTTGAGAATAATTGCACATGCGCGTGAATTGAATGAACTATGACCCGTACAATCTCGATTTGCATATTGTCAATCAAAGGTCTTGTTATTTGGTTACTCATGCAAATTAGGCAATTGGACATAAACATTGCCACGTGTGAGTGTTTTTTATTTTTAACCAGAAAATAAACAGCATTGTTAACGGTGTTCCAATAAGAATTCATTGGTCAAATTTTCACAGAATGTTCTTTAGATAAAAATCTATATAAAAAACGAAAAAAACTATTTTTGATTGAAATTCACAAATAAAGTGCATCTCTACCTTAAGTAAAACATTGTTGCAATGACGACAGTGTCAGTTTAATTATTGCTAAAACTACAATGTTATGCACATTTGTCCGCAACTTGTTTTTTTAGAATGGGCGTGTGGGGTGGCAGTGTATACAAAGATATCAACAACATCTCAATAAAGATCATGTCAGTAAGTAAGTATGCAAATCATTTACATATTATATTTGTATTGTTATGTAGCTGAATTGTAAAAACAAGCTACATCTTCATCTTGCTACCGTGATTCTTCGTATAGCTACATGTCCTGATAGTTTTCTTCAAACTAAGCAATGTTCAATGCAACTGAAATAAATAGCCACTCGTCAAAGAGAAGCTAAGTTCAAAGTTTTGACATGTTCGTCGTACTTTCCTTATGAGTTCATACCATCAGGATACCAAAAATAGAAAAAAATTGGGGGTCATCAGATTATTTTTTGAGATTCCTGAGTCTGAAGTATCATGGAAAATAGTCAAAATTGTCATTTTTACACTGGTTTCTATGGTGAGATTTGTTATTCCTATCTCAAAATTTGGCTTGCTGACTTATTAGTATTGATATATATTATTATTAATATGAAATCTAGCATAGTGAAATGTTTGAAAAATTGACATATAATTTTACTGAGTTTCCAGGGTGATAATATTTTTCCATGATATACAGGTTATCTCCCATAATGCATTGCACATATATAGAGTAACATCATGCACAGTAGTGGAAACATTTCATTGGAGTTTGTGTGTTACTTTCTTCAAGATTTCATTTTCATGGATTAAATACTATCAGGATACTGAAATTGAAAAAAAAGTATTTGGGCTTAGCAGACAATTTTTCGAGAAATGCATTTTTACACTGGTTTTACATGGTCTAATTATTTTTTCATACCTCAAACTTTTGCTCGGTGACGTCGTATAATATTATTTTCTTGAATCCCATCATGGTATTGGATAATTAAATTCATCGCGAACTGCTGTAACAGGCTCAATGTCAAGTCAACTTTCTGCCAACTTTTACAAAACAAAGCTGTGTACCGGGGGGTAATTTGTTTTCCACATTCAAAAAATAAAATGGTCAAGACCTGTAGCAAATGAAAAATATTGACCATTCAGTTAAAAATTAACCAGAAATATTATTAAAATATTTAAAATATTATGATTATTTGGTAAAATGTGTGAAATGTTGCATCTAAATTTTGGCGACAAAACATTTAAAATGTTAAAAACTTGTATAAAATATTCCCTTCTCAAAATTGTGCAAACCCCAAACAATAAAATATGAAACTCGTGTTTTACCAAAAATATAAATATGGGAAATTACATCAATTTTTTTTTTTTTGCAGAAAATTCACCCCGGAAGAGGACAAACTGATTGTGGAAATCATTGAAAAATTACGAGTGGGAAACATGATTCCATTCACCAAAGGTCAGTTCTGTGAATAGAAAAAAAAAATAGTGAAAACAAATTTGTGTGAGAAAGTCTGGTGGTGAAAGGGTTAAGAGTAGTCTGGGATGCATGTGCATGTTGTAGATGCCTCTATTTTGAACTTAAGAATACAACAATATTATTCTTGTTACTACTGTGTCCGAGTGACTTTTGAACATCAACCATTGCGTGCTTTCTAGTTTAACTGTTTCTAGCACACTCCTCCAGCAGCTGTACATGACACGATTTATTGTAATGAAGACAATAATAACTTGGAGAATACAGGTTTTGATGCGTATTACTCGCAAAACGCTGTAACTTTCAAATTTGATTTTTGGCCAAGTTACTCAAAATTGAAAGAGAATTCAACTAAGTTTTACCGAGAGGTAGAATCCAACTCATAATTCTTGAGAAAATTAAAATGGTTATATTTAATATTAAAATTAGTGTATATTCAAGTGTTGGTAACAGTGAACAACATTCTCTTGTGCGTTACAAAAAAATAATTTTGAAAAAGTGGGCCAGATAAAATTGGTTACGCATTCGTCTATACTTCATGTATTCATGTCTATTATCATGTCTATATACTTTACCTTGTTTGTATCATCGTAGGTGAAGGTCAATGTATATGTCGTAAAACTTTTTCTTGTGTTTACAATAACTCAAACAGTTTTTATACAGTTTCTTTCAAGTTAACGTTATATTAACTAGTTTGATATCTGGACCGCCATTATATTAGACAAAAATGAGGAAAGCCTTGTTCCTGTGTTTTTTTTCTAGTTGCTTATTTTCTTGAAGGCCAGTCTAGTCGGAAAATACTAACAAGATGGCACAATAAACTCAACCCTGATTTGAAAAGAGGTAGATTTACTGAATTGGAAGATCAGGTGAGTAGTGCATACATACATTTATCATCTCCATCATGCCTGCCAACCCTAACCAGGACCCTCCTCCTCCCAAATGTCATATTCATATATAGTCGATAGTCGTCACGCCACGCATGCTCGAGATATATGGGCCTCATATAAACAAAAATGATGACTTTGACTGTTGCGCAGATTAACGAGTACAAACTGAAACATTTTAACAAGCTTTAATTGGGAATTTTTCAGGTGATTGAAGGTAAGGAAGGAGTCAACGGCAGTAATTAGTGCAAATCACGCCCAAACATCATATTTGAGATTTCCATTAGAAAAGCACACTGAATTGTGGGAAAATAAATGTTTATCAACACAAATATCGCACATGCGCAGCACGACGACTACCGCCCTTTAACCTTTTAAATGAAATTTTGGTGTAATATTTTTTTTCAAATTTTTATCTGCGGTTATTCATATTACGGAGCTATTCATATTACTGATATAGTTTCTACCTTGCCATTTATTCAGTGTTATTTACTTGCTTTACTTTCTAAGTCAGTATCTACTATGAGTTAACAATTATTTCTCAGTACTTATTCACTGTTATATCGCTACACCATTACTTTCGACTTTCAACATCCTTGTACCCCAGTGTCGGGCTACGCTGTGTGGCGAGGATTGGCATGAACGAATTTCATGCTCTTTACACGTAATATGCATTCTTTATTGGGGAAATGCCTGGTGGCTAATGGGAGGACGTGATGTGAAGCTCGATAATTAGGTTCTAGATTCTATGTCAGTTATTACTATATTATATTCATATTACTAATTGTTCATTGTTGTCAAGGTTACATGTTTGACATCTTAAAAACTGTCAGCTATATGGCTTTTATACTCGCTACAAATATACTATGAGCGATTTTATCATTTTATGATACCATCAATATTTCAGTGAATATTCTCGTCATTTTTGGTAAAAAATGATATTTTTGACTTCTTCTTGAAAATGGCAATGCCAGTTGCTTGTTTGCTTGTTTTTTGGAAAAAATTATGTCACTGAAAAAGTAAAAAAAAAAACAAAAAAAAACTGCAATGTGTAATTATAAAATATTAATATTTTACTGGAAAAATATTTGTCTGTATGTGTTTTGTTATGAATTGATTGTAGTATAAAAATATATTTTTGTATTTTCTAGCTTTTAATAGCAGGAGTGAATCAGCAAGGTCAAAACTGGGTTAATATATCTAAAACCATTCCAGGAAGAACACCTACCCAGGTCAGAGATAGGTAAGATAGTATTCTATGGCCTCATTGTGTGAAGTCAACAGTCCCTCTAGCCTAAGTTTTTGTCAACTAAAATGATTTAATCAAATGCTGCAATTCATTTACGAAGGCATTGCAAGCAAAAGATGTAAGACCCACGGGACTGTTATAGGTTGAAGGCTCTGCCTTGCTATTAATTATGCATGCATCTGGATGACATAGTAAAATTTGCATATATGCAAATCTCAACTGCATGGAAATGTCAAATTTTCCGTTTTTAAACGTCGTGCATGTGTTCCTGTTTCCTGTTCACTGTCTGATAATCCATCTTCAGAACTACAAATGCCATTTTTTACCTCAAAGACAGTGCAATCAATGTGAGTCCACTCACTTGATGACAAAGAACTGGTCAAAGGTTCCCTGAACATTTCACTCAGCAAATATTGAGTTAATATTGCATTCCTCCCCAGTGACCTGTGATTGTGATTTCATGACGTCATTCTACCTGTCACTCACCTTGATATGCTACAAGAGAATTTCTCTACAGTGGCGAATGATGGTGAAACAGCCTATAACAGTCCCTCAGGCCTTACGGCAGTCGCTTGAAATCCCTTTGTAAATGCATTGCGGCATTTTTTACCTTGCCCGTACCATCAAAGATGGAAGGGAAAGGTATATTAAGGGATAAATTTCTGTCCGGTGCTGTCGTTGTTGTCGTCATCATCGTTGTTAGGCACCAATTTTTTTGCAGTATAATTACATCAAGGGTAAAGTCACCAGAGTTCAACTATTTTAGTTGAAAGCCAGAATGACCATCGACAATCTATGTGTAATACACTAATACATGCATAGTATTCTATGGGAATCACTATGTAATACACTAATACATGCATAATATTCTATGAGAATCACTATGTAGTACAGTAATACATACATAGTATTCTATGAGAATCACTATGTAATACAGTAATACATACATAATATTCTATGGGAATCACTATGTAGTACAGTAATACATACATAATATTCTATGGGAATCACTATGTAATACAGTAATACATACATAGTATTCTATGAGAATCACTATGTAGTACAGTAATACATACATAGTATTCTATGGGAATCACTATGTAATACAGTAATACATACATAGTATTCTATGGGAATCACTATGTAGTACAGTACTACATACATAGTATTCTATGGGAATCAATAATACAGTAATACATACATAGTATTCTATGGGAATCACTAATACAGTAATACATACATAGTATTTTATGAGAATCACTATGTAGTACAGTAATACATACATAGTATTCTATGGGAATTACTATGTAGTACAGTAATACATACATAGTATTCTATGGGAATCACTAATACAGTAATACATGCATAGTATTCTATGAGAATCACTATGTAGTACAGTAATACATACATAGTATTCTATGGGAATCACTATGTAGTACAGTAATACATACATAGTATTCTATGGGAATCACTAATACAGTAATACATACATAGTATTCTATGGAAATCACTGTAATAAAGTAATACATACATAGTATTCTATGGGAATCACTATGTAATACAGTAATACATACATAGTATTCTATGGGAATCATTATGTAATACAGTAATACATACATAGTATTCTATGGGAATCACTATGTAACACAGTAATACATGCATAGTATTCTATGGGATCACTATGTAACACAGTAATACATATAATTATATGGCGTAATACTGTAATACATGGCATCATTATGTAATACATACACTGTATTATATGGCATCACCCTAATACATTACATCATGATATTTTATGCTATATGATTCGATAATTAACAACATTCATAGGGGAAAAATTTTGTAGAACAATCTGGGAATCGCTGCAAAATGTCATGTTTTTCCATGACTCTGTGTATTCATGTTCGTTTTCATGTTCGTATTCATGTTTGTATTCATGTTCGTAGCTTACAAAAGAAAACATTTAACAGTATAGAAAATAAATACCTGCAAACCATAAAATGCAATTTAAAAATAAACAAATTAAATTCAGTGAAATAAATGATTCTTCATAAAATGACAATTCGGCCATTTTAATCCTATTAGTGGTTTGATGTGGAAATCTTGTTGTTCGTAAGGTGGATAAATTGTATCAATCCTGAGTTAAAGAAAGGTACATGGAGCCAATCTGAAGACATTAAACTAATGGGACTGGTCAGAAAATATGGTGCTGGTAAGGCAGTTGTTTTTTTCTTCCAAAATTTGGTTGAAATTATTGTAAATTTTTCTGTATTTTATAATAATTTTACCGTACTCGTCAGCGCCCATGCCCGGTCAATCGCCCAGCCCCCACTTTTGTGCAATTTTTATATTAGGGGTCACTTTCGGCAAAGTGCCCACCCCTTCAAAATGCCACTAATTTAAAATTGGTCTTTGATCATTGCTTAACAAATACTGGTAATTGTTTTTATATCATTATATCATTATATTGACCGCCACGAATATGTTGTGAATGCGTAGACCACGGAAACTGTGCATAAACTACGCTTCGACAATGACCTGTTAATAAAAGTAAAATGCTGTAAATATTTCATGCCGTATTCAGTTTACCTATAAAAATTGCTAGTTTAAAAACCATGTCGTACTTCGAAATCAATAATTCACTTTCGCATTGCGTTACCAGAAAGTCTTTGGGAATTTCAGAAGAATTGCGTTAGTACAACACATCATTTTGATTGGATAATAACAGACTTAACACAGTAGGTCAAAGAACATTGATGCAGGTCAAATGCAAATACATTATGGCGGAAAGTGATTTTCATCGAGAGTTTGCGTACGATCAAACACATTCGTCAGTGGCGATAATGATGAAGATTTTTACTTTGACTGTGTTCCAGCAGACTCTAATATTTTTAATCTCAAAAATGTGGGTGGTACGTAATAAAATATTTTAATAAAATGTGCATATTTGACCATTTCTGTTTCTTCATTGTAAGAGTCACTGACGATGCACCTAATTTCGTAATTTAATTTTCCCTCAAAGACCATATGCACTCTTTTCTGAGGGGGGTGCTCGGGTAAGCACCCTCACCTAAAAATTCTTGATTTTACGGTATTGTTAATTTCAGGGAAAATGTCAACTGTTAAAGAATGTTGTCATGGCAACGTGTCAAGTTTGATAAGGGTCTTATACATGTTTGTTACTACGGCCATCTTGAATTGACCAATGGGCATTCTACAATTTTTGTGGTATTCTATAACCTGGATACTGGAAAATTTTAAAAACCATTTCTCAGGCCTGCCTGGACCTATTTCATTCACACATGATAGGTGCACATGAGTTTGTTTTGTGACAATATTATCACAATGCTGAATACTTTGAATTTTTCAATAATTGACACAGTCACAAAAAAAAACAATTTTATAGGTTGCTGGGCGAAGATATCTTCAGAGATTGGAGGCAGGAGACCCAATTCTGTGTTGTGGAGATACAAAAAACTTGTAAGTCGTATTAGTTGAATATACATCAGAAATAAATATACTGGTAATGTTTTTTTTTAATATTCTCCTTTGTTCGATTTTATTAGGTATAAAAGGGAAGGGTATATGTACATCTTCAATAAGGCCCATAAAAACAGACTTCAGTTAAAAATGTGTGTTTTTACTCTGTCCGTATCATTACTGCCTGCAGCATGGATTGATACAATACACTTGTGGTAATCACTCTTGTCTGCTGACGTCAACCAAGGAAAAAATATTGTGGGTTTATATATGATTATTGCGTTGTTTCCGGACTTTTATACTCACTTTTGCCATGACATCTATTTATTTGTAGTTTAATCAGGATTCTTAATGGGCAAGGTTGTAGTAGTTGTGCTATGTTTTATGTTTTTTATCAGAATGATAGTTAAAGGAAAATTAAAAAAACTTGTGTCAAGCAAACCTGTTTTGGCGAATCACATGAACATGGGTCACATGAGTAAGAGTGGTATAATAAATTTTACACTACTTGACTTGGTAATTATCTTATTGCAGACAAATACCTATAAGCGTAGCAAGAAACAAAGAAAGGAAAGGAAAGTAAAACCTTCAAAACCTAAATTGGTAATTAATCACAGAATTCTGAAGATGATTGCCCAGCACAAGAGAGTAGCAATTCAGACAGTGCTGGTAGAACTTGTACAGCAACATCACCAGGTCCACCAGGAAAACCAGGTACGAAGCTAAGTAGGTCATAGTGAAATGTTTTCAAACAGTTGACGTACGGGGGAAAGCATTACATGATAGCGGCGATACGGCAGTTACTTCTGGTAGCACACCACTGTATGCACAGGCTTCAATTGATATTACATAAATCCAAAGTTGAATGGCAGGCACTTCAATCAGTCTAGGTGTGTATATGTCTGAAATGTCTCTTGCCCCAAGTCTAATTATTAAGTGATACAGGCTACAGTGTATCCTGTAAAACATATTGAAAAAGCGACATGCAATTTTAGCAAATTGTGGTAAAATGACGTAATATGGAAATGTTGATTTAGCGAATCTCTCTTGTCATTGTTGATTTCCTGTTTTCACAATACTTGTCTGTCGCGTGCCAAAACAAATGCGCAGTCATTAGCGACATCTTGAATTAGCTTATCAGTTCTCTAACTAAATTCGCTAAAAAAAGATATGTTTTACAGTATACTCATGAATCTAGGAATACTTTGGTCTGCAAATGGGAAAGCTGATACACGCTTTGAGACTGGTCGGAGAATTCCAATCATGTGTATAACCAATTTTGCTCCTCTACTCCTTTCACCACCAGACTTTCTCAGCCAAATTTTTCTGCATTTTTTTCTTCAATATTTCTGGAAATGAAATCTAATTTTGAGCTAACAGACAAAACTTGAGTCAATTTTCATTTTTTAACCAAAAATATGGCTATTTTTGTCTTAATCTTCTGAAGGAAAGTGCAGACTATAAACGGGACTATTTTGTGAATTTGTGATGAAAAGGGAGAACTGGTGGTGAAAATGTTAATATAATAATATTTGACATGTCAATTTTGCAGTGTAATCTGTCAACAATTGATAAACTCAATGCCTTGCCAGATGACTGTTCATTAGAGCAGATACTATCTGCACTGACAGAAAATACAGAAGATACCTCGTCTCCATCAAAGCTGGAAAAGAAGGAAACGCGTGGAAGGAAACGACAGGCGGAATCTGAAAAGATTCTGGATCAATCAATCCAAGATGCGATAGAGAATAACAGTATAAAAGTACCAAAGAAACGAGGGCGACCTTTTAAATACAAAGGTTAGTAGACATCTTAACTGTTGTTTCAATAATTCCTAAATATTTAAATATAGAATTTATTATCATAAGAAATTAATTTAAAGAATCTGCTCCAACAATTATCAGTAAAAAGCAAAGTAACGGTATCAGTAATAATAATGTTAATAATAATAATAAGCAAGACCTTCTTTCACTATCATCAAATTTTCGACAAAAATTTCATTTAAAAATACTGTCAACTGTTGAATTTTACTGCTACAAATATTTGCAATTTCATAACTTAAGGGTGTTTACGTGGACAAAAAGTCACTGTTGCCTAAAGACCTCAGTGAAATCTTCACTACTACAATATTTGCTGATATTTTCTAATTTATGAAATTAATCTTGGCCTTTCACAAAGTTAAATTGGTTTATAATACTTTTACTTATCACATGCATAACTTGTGTATATTTTTCAAATAATTAAAATTAAATTAAAATGAATCCTATTGAATTATCAAATATCATAAACAAGAAGAATTGCTAACATACACCACTTTCTTATAAGATACTCCAAAGTAAATGTATACATGTAGATAGTATTTAAGCTGGAACATTGTATCTCGAAAAATTCCAAATGTATTATGCTGTACAGTAGGGATCACTCTGCATCCATTGTGAATGTACATGTAACCTTGAATGATACAAATTTGTTATGACTGATCAAAGCCAGTTGAAATTTGTGTTAATATTTTTAATTTCAGTTGTAGAAGACAAGCGTAGATTATCAAATCCTGGCAATCAGTCGGCGTTGTTTCCTATTTTACTCAAAGTAAGTAAAAATGCAAATTCTTATGAAAACCTTCCATTACAAATCAATGTGTTTTCGAAATAGTTTCACGTGTGCTACACTACACGCATTGGATGATGGTTAATTGTTATGAAGTTAGGGAGTCTTAATGCAATATTCCCCTCTTATAATTGGCATTTTGACCTTGAAAACAAATGAAATTCAAGTTCAAAATCAAATCGTTTGATTACTGTAAAATATTTTATTTTCACTTGGAATTAATTTTCGCTGAAGGAGTGATTCAGTGAAAATAAAATCCAGTGAATATACCTTTTTTCCTATATTTTACATTCAACTTGTCAAAAATCAAGGAAAATAATTTTCATACAAAACACCCAAAAAGTCTTTTCAGCGAAAATTAATTCCAGCTAAAATAAAGTATTCTACAGTATTGCAGCAAGCATTCGGTACATACACTCTTGGTTGTTTCTGTGCATGTGTGTGCATTGCATTGTAATAAACGTTAATAATCTCGTTTATATGCGACTCAAATGTATTTTGGTCTTAACATGTATATAATTGGAATTTGGCTTATGTCATATGCAAATTACCTGCAGAGTGGTACAATATTCTGACTGTATTCATATTCTTACTTCCACACTTTTTTCCCAAAAAATGTTTGAAATTTTCCATTTTTGTAATACCAATCTAAAATTTGCTTCTTTCTAGTCAATGGACATTGATGTAAAACAAGTGATGCCACTTATTAGTGAGGCTAGAAGACAGAATATTGGAATAAATTCACTGCCAGAGTCAACCCAAGCAAAGAAGATTATTCTCAAACCTTTGAACATTGCCGCGCTCTCTTCAGCATCAGACGTCGCTTATAAACGACAATCTCACAAGCCGATGGCGTTGCCTTCTCAATCTGCCATAGCTGTACCAGTGATTGTCGGGCAAATAATGAACATTGATAGTTCTCAAAAAGGAACGTCCTCCACAGTGACGATAACCAATAACCATACTGGAAATGTATTACAAGCACCTGCAGTCAGTGAGACAGCAACACCTGTAACTGCAGCACCTGTAACTGCAGCAGTGAATACTATGGCTATAGCGGTGCCTGTAGCAAATAAACCCTCTTTGAGTGCAGCCTCTGCAAACAAGACAGGACCATCTCAAGGAGTTCCATCTACAAACCTGACAGTTCAGCCAGCTCCAATATTAGTGAGTGTGCCACACGCAAATCTGGTGGGACCAGTGAATCAACTAGCAGCGGTTTCCACAAGTAAATTGTCATCAGTGACTGGTACGATATTGTCGCCGTCTGTTTCTCCCAAGTGTGTCATGCCTTCTGTAGGGGTGGTGCCTCGAGTTACCCCTGCTCAGACAATAGGAAGTCCATCTGAGAGACTAAATTCATCTCCAGTTACACAAAAAACTACAGCTAGCACTGCAGCAATCGTATCATCAGTCGCAGGTCTCACTAATCCAACAACTGTAGTCACAGTTACCACACCAACAAATGCATCTGCAGCTTCAGTCATGCAAACAACCACAGAACCTGCCGCTACAGCAACGCCTGTGGAATCTATTGTGCAAACTTTAAAATCTTCGACACACAGTAAAAAAAAGGCTCTGTCTACTTGCAAGAAAAGCTCTTCTGATGCTGAACCCGAACCCGAACCAAGGCAGTATAATTGCCTTTACCCAGGTCATGTGACTGTAGCAGAATTATTGGAGCGTAAGAGAGGAACTCCCAATGAAGACAGTTATGTGCCGCCGAGTTTGCGCGAGAATAAAACTAACATTCCCCATAAACATCAAGTATTCTCAAAAGATAGGATTCCTGTCATAAAGCCCAACAAACCGATCCATTTAAACAGCTTGCCATCAGGATGTACAGTTTTCAAGTTAAACACCCGGGGAGATTTCCAAACCGTCGGTCAAGTCAGCAATCCTAAAAGTTCACATGTTGTTCAAGGCAGTTCACCAGTTCGAATCACACCTTCTCCTGCTCCTGCTGCAAAGAAACGTACACCAAGAACAAACTTTGATTTGCCGATTCTTCCGCCCTCTACTGCCACTCTGACCGGTTTTCAAATATTGCTGGAGAAGAAAAAACAATTAAAGGCGATGTCTGATATTGTCAAGCAGACACCTGTAAAGAAGTCGAACGAGAACCTTGTTACTTTGCCTGGTCAATCAACTCTGGCATTTGAAGGGTACTCATCTATAAATGATTCAACCGGAACAAAGAATACAAATTTAGATGAACATAGAAATTTAGATTCCCAGGGAAAGAGGAGTACAAGTTCAGTTGATGGAAGGAATTTTGATTTGCATGGAGCAGCAAATAATGGTTCAACTGAACAGAATAATACGGAATTACAGAAAGCAGCGAATTCAAGTTCAGCTGAAGATAGTAATACAATATCACACAAAGCAACGAATACAAATTCAGTTGAACAGGGTAATTCGGAATCGCATCTAGCAGCAGCTGAACAAAGAAATTCGAACTCTGATGCACTCGACAAGATTCGAGAGAGCGAGTCGTATAAACTGTTAAGGGCACGATTCACATCGTTATTTTCTTGGCCTATGTTGATGTCGCAAACAAAACTTGATCCAGGAAAATAGTCGAGACAATTAATTATTCAGGGGAAAGAAATAATTAGAATTTTCTTTACTTATCTTTGTTTCTGTAATTTTTTGAATTCATTGTAAATTGAGTTATTTCGGAATACGACATTAAATCTCTGTACAAAAAAATCTGATCTGTTGAATTGACATGCTGATTGAGTACTGTACACTGTACTTGCACATGCCATTTTTTTCAAAATTTAGACTTTAACGCAAAAATCTGAAGAAAATATGGTAGCCAGTCAAAACGATCACCTGCTTTAGGGAACTGATCATTACCACCCAGCCGGTTTCCTGTGAGTTTGACTCGGTTTACCGTACCGGTCGTTGCTTTACCGTACCGGTCGTTGCTTTACCGTACCGGTCGTTGCTTTACCGTACCGACCGTTGCTTTACCGTACCGACCGTTGCGTTACCGTACCGGCCGGACAATTACCGTACTGATAGGACCAATACCGACTATTTATCACCTTCGATTAATGAATGCATGGTAAACAAAGCCCCGGTAACTGATCGGCGCCCTGCCGGTAACCGTGAGTCATGCATGAATTAATTGGGCATTTTGCAAACAATAAGAATTTTTTTCACCCCACCCATTGAAAGTGAATAATTTGAAAAGGACATGACTTGTACAACAGAGTGTTACGTCCCAGTCGACTAGAGGACTCGATGGGTTAATTATTTGTTTATATTTGTCAGTAGCTCACACAGTGGAAAGAAAGTCGGACAAACGTCGAAATACAAATAATAAATTAAATAAAAAAGTCTTTCTGAAATTTCATGTTTTTTTTCATATATGTGTGTATTCACATATTCATGATCGCCTGTAACGCTATAAACGACAGTCTACATCGTAGCTTACCACGACGTTGAATAAAACGTCTCAACCTGTCGCATGAATTCGATGATACTTGCATAATGTGTCAGCGTGACTCGCTTGGCCGAGCTCACATGTATTTAAATTCGGGCTTGGGCGTTCGAAAATCTGTTTTGATACTTTGTTGACAATAACACGCGCAACGCGTGCACGTAGTCCAGATAAAATTCAAGTGCGTAAAACGGAATTTGACCTTGCTCTAGGTCAACATTTTTCTATTGCTTTTCGACCTCATTTTGTGAGTTTGCTTAT